ATATATATACATATATACATATATATATATATATATATATATATATATAGGTTTTCATAGTTATGGGGTTAATTGCACTGACATGTGTGGTAGAGACTGAGACTATGCATGCATGACTCAATCAGCGACTAGCCCCATATAAAAAATGCTAACACAATACCATTCTTAAAGTCTTCTGTGGATCATGGGATCAGTTGTATTAACTGACCAATGTGTCACCGGTACCATGCATTTATACTATCGAACCAAAACAGTAGCCGTGTTCAAGAAAGTGCACAATCTTCTGGGATACGAAAGTTTTACAGATATCGTAAATCTAGGAGAAATTACGTGTAATAATGGTCATATAAACAATTAGTAGGATTCAGTGAACCCAGTGGTTAATATGAATACATATGACCAAATCAAACCGCTTAGATAGGAAATTCAAGTGCAAAAAAACTCACTGATAGTGGACCTTATTAGAAACTATCAGAGGGAAAAAAACAAAACACCGAACCGACCCCAATACGTGGGAAAATTTGACCTTGTTCACAGCGGGAGTCTTCTGCAACTTCAATCGAGAAATGAGCCATAATTTAAACAAACTGACCCAACCTGACGGCATTCACGCAATCGAACTGGGAAGCTTCCATTCCTAGCCTTACGGTGATAGAAATGCCAAGAACTAAGATCGATCAACCATTTCCTCGGTAAGCAGAAGCTGCACTGTGTTAAATCTTCACTCTGTCTAGGTGAACTAGAACCAAGAAACAAAAACAATCTTGTCCGAACACCGTTCGTCTCCTTCATTGTATCCGTTACAAAGATTTAAATCAACCAAATCAAAATAGACGGGAAATGAGTAGAAATTAGAAGAGTTTGTGAAATGGAGAACGACTAAAAGTCAGAAACGAATGAATAAAGTCCGACTGGAAAACATAAACAATGGTACGTTAATTTTGCTTCAGATTTCACACTGTTGATACAAGGCTATGGATGGTGTGCAAAATTACTGTAAACAACTAAAATCTTGAAACAAAGTCTAAAAAGCAAATTTCTGAGTAACTCCATTCAATTTCACAAGTATCTGGCACTGCATATGGATTGTGGTATGAATTTCATTCCGTGGAAGTTTGTTTATTCTTCACACAGGTTGAATGCCTCTAGTTTGATAGGAAGTACTGTATAGTAGTGGGTAAAGTATACTGGATAATTGTTCCTTTCTTCCTGAGACTCGTCACTGATCTTCCGACTACCGACCCCCGGGTCCACAGTTCGAGTCCCGCGGGGGATAGTACCATAGTAAGTACTGCTCACAAGATCAAACAAGAGTGACACAGCTGTCCTATACTGGGTGTCGATCATTACACGCACAAAATATCTACCGCAGACAAAGTTTCAAACATCGGGTCCAATTGGGGTTGGGACAATTAGGCTTACCCATCCACCACGGGATTGGATCCATTTGTGAATACCCTGAATAAAAATGAATTTGATCACAAATCGAATCACATCGCCCGCAAGGCCGCCCAGATTGCGAGCCAGAGCGTGGAATACCACCTTGACAGCAAACATGAACAGGACCACAATCCGGGACCAACTGATCACGCCATCGGCAAATACGCTGTTTATGAGGTGGAGGGAGAGCGAAAATCCAAAGAAGTGCTTACACGAATAAAAATGTAATTCAGTCAAAAAGACGAGCATGATCGAAACTGGAAGTGACGAACAACGGAAAAACGAATAAAAAGTATAATGCGTAAACAACAAACTCGGTACAACTGGGAGGAGGACCTCATCATACAGTTGGTGTGTAAAATTCGGCAACTACAGATTAGCAAAACCACCAGGGCAGATGAAGTGAGATTCAGAATAAACTAACGTAGAACTAACGACGATAATATGGGAAACCTTTGCGGATGTGGAAGCATACTGTGTAAAACCAAGTTAATTAGATGAGCTAGAAAAATGAAAAGGAAAGCACTGCGAATGATTAACTAGTTCAGCGAAAACATCAATCCGATCGATAAATGACCCAAACCTTTGCGTCTAACCTCAGCATTGCTCATCCGGTTTCCCCACCAGACTCGTGCAATGCGACGTAGATAATGGTGTTCGAACACCGTAGGTCTACTCTTATTCTGTTCCCGTAATGACCAATTCTTTGCTCCATATAACAGAACTGGCCGAATTGCTGCAGTATACACTCCACTTTTTATAAACTCCGGTTCTACAAAGTGTTCACTGCAGGTAACGAAGGCGGATTACAGATTCCACACCTTCTATCAAGTGTCCCATACCCCCAACTGACCACCGTCACGTTCAAATCTGAAACGGTTAAAAACAAACTATTGGTGCTGCGCCGGAATTCATCTCTAGGGGAAGACAACATCCGGTCACAGACCCTGACGTCCTTGACAAATTGCATATCTGAAATAATTGCCCATTGATACCAAAATTAATTGTTCGACAAGACGAAGATCCCTCAATCCTGGAAACACGGCATCATTTCGCCTATTTACAAAGCTGGCTGCAGAAGTGATCATGCGAACTACCGTCCAGTTACACTTCTTCCTGTTCTGTCAAAAGTAATGGAATCGATTGTTGCTGATTCTCTGATGGATCATTTCGAGAAGCATAGCATACTTTTGCTGGCCCAACACGGGTTTTGAAGGAAACGCTCGTGCACCACAAACCTGCTACTTGCACCAGATGAATGGACAAAATCAGTCGACGCAGAAGAGGCAGCAGATGTAGTCTACTTAGACATCTCCAAAGCTTTTGACAGGGTTAACCATCATATACTGCTGCGAAAGCTCTATAATTATGGTATCTGAGGACTGCTACTGGACTGGATTGAGGAATTTCTTCGACAACGCACCGTATCGGTTCGGGTTAATGGTTCTCTGTCGGGACCGATTGAGGCTGTCTGTGGAGTTCCACAAGGATCCGTACCCGGTCCATACCTTTTCTTATCATTGATAAACGACCTACCAGATATCCTTGGAGAAAAGACATTACTGTTCGCTGATGACGCCAAAACATGGAGGACGGTAAAATATCCTGAAGATTATCAAACCTTGCAGGAAACTCTCGACGCAGCTTACCGATGGTCCATAATTCACAACATCGAATTTAACGTTGAAAAATACAAGGTTGTATCGCTGCGCTACAGGGGTCGCTTTCCATACTTACTTGGAACTCAGCCATTGCCGCGTTCTTCAAACGAAAAAGACCAGGGAGTTATCGCTCATGAGGATCTTTGATGTTCCACACATTTTGCAATAGCGTCTTCAAAGGCTATAAAACACGTTGGATTCCTAAAACGTGTTTTTGGATCATTCGAAACAGACCTATTGCCCCGTTTATTATCAGCATACATTAGACCACACACCGAGTATGCTGTACATGCTTGAAGTCCATGGCTGATTCGCGACCAAAAGGCACTCGAACGTCCGCAGAGAACAGCAACCAAAATCGTCAAAGGGTTACAATCTAAGACCCACGGTGAAAGACTACGAATTCTCGGACTCTACTCGTCTGAATACCGTCGAATACGGGGGGACATGATCCTCGTTTATCAAATACTACATCAACTTAACCACCCGTGTAGTACTCCAGTGACGCTATCCAGGAATGGTCACCTCTGAGGACATCCGTTTAAACTTCTGCTCCAAAACAGTGGGCTCGATTGCAGGCGTCATTGTTTCAGCCTCAGAGTTTGTAACACCTGGAACTCCCTTCCACCTCAAGTTGTTGGTGCACCAACCGTCGATTCATTCAACTCACGACTGGATGAAGCATTGAACCACCTAACTTTTCAGTAGCCATCATCATCATCATCGTACAGCGAAATGCAGGGAAGCGAACTTCACTGATCGCTGCCAAACT